CCAAACCCGCGGAAGGACTTATGGAGCGGCTGAAGGCAAACTCCCGCCTGACGGATACGACTTTAGTCTGAGGGCACCACTAGGGGTTCGAACCGCGGCTCAGGCCGTCGTAATTTCGTCCCCGTTTGAATTGGACGGGGGATCGATCGGAGGGGTAAAGGAGGAATCGTGTGGAGATCAACTTGTTATTGTAAATTGCTAGAAAGACGTGTCGAAATGCCTTTCTAAAACTGTATAAAGTCCCTACGTTGATTGATTATATCATTCCAGATTCCAGCTGCACTGTGTTTGAAACTTCCATCCTAAGTTTTAGTCTTGTGCCTTTTAATTTTTAAATTATTAATGTACTAGCTATCCGCTCCTTCGCACGGCTGTACATCATATACATAAACCATTCTCTTGAATCTCTCTATTTAGTAAAATAAATCGATTCAAATTCCGTTGTGTAGTTTTAAAGATTTAAGCATACATAGGGACAGACAGCGACAGTGACTTTGTTTTATACTATGTAATGATAATGATAGTGATGATACCGAACGAGTGTTTTCTATTCCTGTTTTTATACCGTTTCAACTTAATAGAAACAAATATTTAAATGCCAAATCCACTGTTAGTTAAATCTGTACTGGTATATGAATTATATTCTAATCTATATTAATAAAGTCTAGATTTCACTAATCATAGTATAAACACGTTTAATGAAACGGAGTTCAGTGTGAACTCGAAAAAAAGAACAACGTTGATCTCGTTTTACTTTACAGATCGCGTTTACCAAAATGAAATTTAGATTTTCATTCGTTCACAGTGTTACACGCTCATAAAATAATATTTGATGCAATGGGTAATATAAATAAAACAATTCTAAGAAATATTTGTAATTTAATAATGTGATAATTATCACATATTTTTTTTAATTTAATAAGTACCGTCGACTATAAAATATAAAACAACAACCTTTACTTAGAAACTAGTAAAAAATAATTTTATTGAGATTTTTTTTACACTACTGGCAATTTTCTTTTTATTCCCGATATTACATATATTGTCAAAAATTTGATTGATGACTGTTTGCCAACTGACAGCTGCTTTAAATACGTTTAAAGTATTAACTGTAGGAAATCAGACGTTCAGAATTTTTAAACATGTTTAACGAAATTTGTAGTGGTGAAATGCAAAATGAAGCTTTGAACACGTTAAAACATTTTAATGGCGTTCAGTATGAACTAAACGTGATCAGTTTCTTTGGTGAAATCCGAACTTAAATAGTTAACTGTTGGAAATCAGACGTTCAGAATTTATAAACGTGTTTACCGAAATTTGTAGCGGTGAAAATGAAGCTTTGAACACTATTTAAATTATTAACCGGATCTTAACGCGAATAATTTTATGGCAAATAAAGGTATTTACCTCTCTGGACGTTTCGACTAGGTTGCACTAGCCGTGGTCACGAGCTGACTGGAGTAACAGCGATGTCAATGTAGATAGGTGACAGCAGTTTTTTCATCTACCGTCACTAGATTGTTTAACGAAAGTTCGCGACACACAGCACTCACGGTATCCGTACACTTATCGACTGTTGATGCTACTGAACTTTGCTTGAATTTATTTATGACTGGATTTCACGCAGATGATAATTTTAAGCCATCCTCTCTGTTAAGATCCGGTTAATAATTTAAGTAATGTATATTAAACACGAAAGTTTAAAATTAAAAGAAAGTTAAAGCTTTGAACCCGTTTAAATGTTTTAATGGCGTTTTGTACGAACTAAACGTGTTTAGTTTCTTTGGTGAAATCCGACCTAAATCTTCTACATTAACTGCAATTTATCTCCATTAAGCTACGGAGCTCGATAACACAATTTCTAGAAATGGATTGCACCGTCCCTGCCTATGTCTAGTACTTTAGTTATACGAGAATAGTTCCTAGCGTGGAACAAAACGCTGGTTTTCATTAGTGGAGGACTTTCAGGAGATTAAGGAGGTATTGTGTCGACACAAAGACGCTGCAGACGGCGGTGCACCAACATCTTGTTCCAATTACTTCTCGTCTTGTACATATCTGGCCACCTTCTTAAATTACTATTATTGCTTGTCTTAATAAAGGGGTCAAAATGGGAGTCGTGTCGTATCAAGAATTAAAGAGCATGATGGATCGCGGAACGTGGCAAGAGCTACACCGTCAAGAGCATAGCTTTTAAATTATGAATTAATTAATTAATAAAATGGGTAATTTATGTAATGACAAAAATTAAAAACTTAGTTCAAAATCACCAAAAAAGTGGTACAGTCTGAAAGTGTAAAAAATTAAATATTTTTTTAAGTCAGATTATATTATAAACTACGTGTTCCCGCGACTTCGTCCGCGTGAAATTTAAATTTATTTGTATTAAATAAATGTAGCCTAAGTTACTCCTTATTACATCAGCTACCTGCCAAAAGTCCCGCCAAAATAGGTCCAGCCATTTCAGAGATTAGCTGGAACAAACAAACAGGCAGACAGACAGAGAAAAATTAAAAGTAAGTACCGTATTTATATTCATATTCATACAGTAAATAACGGTTATTTCAATATTACACACAGACACTCCAATTTTATTTATATGTATAGATGATGGAGTTATGAGTCATTGAGTCATTTGAAAAATCTTCGCAATTGGAAACCTTCTGTTTAAAAGGTTTGTGTTTTTTATATGTAAAATATGTACTTTATATGTATTTTACACTATGATTATTGTTGCGGGTGAATGATAAGATGTTGCTGGTCGAGACGATGTATATTACTGATGATGATAAACTGACAATGTGTACATAGAAATAATGATCTTATATACTGAATAAAAGTAGCAAAATGTAAGGTGGGGTGACACAGTTTAGATACAGCAGTGCTTAGTAGACAATATTGAGTTTGTCTTACTAGACATTATTAAATGCAATTATTATTTTGATGTATCTAGGTGACTGTGTCCCATGATTATATTTTAGAAAAATGATATGTTTATGATATTTGACACAGTTGATGTTCATATGACAATGGAGTATAGAAAGAATTTTTACAATACTACCTCGATGGTCAAGCGGTTTAGCACACCGCCCTACTTCCGATAGTCGTCGGTCGATCGTCGTCGTTGGGGTTTGATTCCTCGCACGGCACAAACATTTGTATTCCAGAACATAATTGTTTGTGTCGGTTTGGGTGTTTTATATAATATGTATGTATTTACAAAAAAAAAACTATGTATATGTATCAGTTATCTAGTACATAACACAAGCTTTAGCTAGCTTAACTTGGGTTTAGATGGCGCTGTGTGAATTGTCCTCAGATTATTATTATGTTTAAAAATATATTTATATAAAAAAAACCTATTCATTCACTTCTATACAGTTATGACTAATTAATCAGATATCATTGATCTATATTCTCACTGAAATGTAACGATTTGTCATTACGAAAGTTAAGGTGAAATATATCAAAGTTAAGTCGAGTCGCATAAAAGAGCAATATTCACAACAGAGACAGCAACAGCAATATTCCTAATATTAATACTAGATTTAAAGATAAACTTGCTGTCTCCAAATATTGTTTAGAAATGTCAATAGGTCTTTTATGGGAATGGATATAAAAAATTACAATAAGATACCAAAGGTTATATTAGAATTACCCTTAAATAAATTCAAAATATCTGTTAAATCATATTTACTGAGCGAAGCCTATTACTCACTAAACGATTACTTGAATGACGAGCGTGCATGGCAATAGGCACTGGCTCATCCGTCATACTCGTGAACGGGTGCTGCTTGTGGGGACTGGTCTGTTCAAGTTGCGATCACTGATTAGATTTTTTGTTTATTTTTTTTCAATAGCATATGCTGGTGGTCACTCTATTCTCCCAAATTTGAATTTAAATGAAATTGTATTATTGTAAATATGTACAACATTAAAAAAAAATACAAGCTGAGTTTCCTGTCAGTTCTTCTCATCTCGAAATCATTCCGAACTGACGGTAGATTTGACATATCATAAAGATATTGGGGAGTCCGTTTCTACACAGGGGAGCAGTTGTGAGGGGAAGGGAGCTGTTCTAATTCTCACATCCCCACCTTGTTGGGAGCCATAGTCTTATTAGTTGGGGTAAGCTATTGGTCAATTCACGCAGACATTATTGCGGTTCAGGCGCCATGTCGTCATTGTCAGGCTTAAGTGCCACATGTCAGGCCCACGAGAGGTCATATACGATATTTTGAATTTTTTTTTTATTTCGATTTTTATTTCATAAAAATATGAAAAAGAAAACGTCAATAATATTCATATCACAAGTTCACTTGATGAGAACTGGGAATAACATTCTTTTATTACTTGATCCAAATTCAACGTGATCTAATCCCAATGAGAAATGATATTGTAGCATTTTTACAAAAACATTAAGACAATATCATCTCACCTGTTATATCTTTTATCTGAAAATATTAAATAATTACTAATAATAAAAATTGAATAGCTGTAGAAAGTATAATATTTCGCAGTATACTTTTCGTTCATGAAAAGGTTAATAAAACATCACATCAAATTCTTGTCTCGCTCACAATTTGTTTTCATTATATTATATGTACGGGTATCTATTCCCCGTACTTGTTTGTAAGGTTGCGGGTGCAGGTGGAAACAAGAAAGACAAGTGTAATTATCCTCTCGAGCAGAGTTCGGTGGTCTGTACTAGCGATGGAAGCGGAATGAATTGTGCCGCGTTCGGCACCTATATTTATACTCCGCCCGCTCGCACCGTGTCACGTACTAGGTAACGATTGTGTTACGCACATAGGTGCGAGCGGGACGGATAGCGCGAAAAGACCACCTCTACTCGCTCCTTTATTTATTAATTTAAACTTTACAATACAATTATATTTAATTCTATCTAGTAGGGAATTGAAACTACTACAATTATAAATTTTATTAAGCTAACAATAATCAAATATGTACAATAGTCGCGAACATATCTCCCGCCGCAGCTAAGCTGTATTTAATTCGAGTTCGCGTTGCTCGATTGGCAGGATTACTAATTTCTTCGTAGGTCGCCGAAGTATCCCCTTGTTAGTGCGCACGTCGACCGCCCGTATTTCACCATCCGGTCCCGGATACGTAGCCACCACCGCGCCGCGCGGCCAGGAGTTCCGCGGCAAGTTGCCGTCTGCCACCAGCACCAAGTCTTCTAACTTGATGACTCCGTGTGTAGCTCGGGGCTCCCGCCGGTGTTGTAGCTGGGGTAAATATTCGGTTACCCAGCGCCTCCAGAAGCAGTCAGCGAGCCACTGACTGGCGCGCCACTCCTTCCTGCCCGCCGTATCGCCCTCAGCGAAAGCTCCCGGCAGTGGTACGCGGGACGGACCTCCCAATAGGAAGTGGTTGGGGGTGAGTGCGTCCTCGTCGTCTGCTGATGTCGACACGTGGGTGAGAGGTCGACTGTTGAGCGTGTGTTCTACTTCCACCAGCAGGGTGAGAAGGACTTCTTCTTTCGGGGCTCGTTCATGCAGCGTTGCGGCCAGCGCGGTTTTCACGCTGCGCACTAGTCGTTCCCAGGCGCCGCCCATGAAGGGAGCGCTCGGTGGTATGTAGCGCCTCGGTGTGACGCCCAGTGATTCGAGAGCGAAGTGTTCTTTCATTAATCGCTCTATGGATTCTTCATTTTCTTGCCCGTCGACCAAGTGACTGATTCTGTGCACTTGCTGTCTCGCTCTCGCCGCTCCCGTGCCGTGCAACACCCAACCCAGGTCGGTGAGTGATGCGACCGGTTGTGTCTTATTGCCTCTTCTGACTTCATGTGCGAGCAGCAAATGCCAGTTGTCTTGACCCAGCAGAACCGTCGGTTGACCTTCTTCATATGTCAGCTGATCTATTATATCGTACAAGTGTGGACAGTCTTCTATTGCGCCGCGTGATACTGTTTGTGGAGATAACAGTAGTTTCTTCATGGTTCGCGCAGACACGGCATGATCTTCCGATCTTCGTCCCCGTATTGTGAAGTGGACAAGCTTCGATTCATCGGCGTTTATGCGTGTCCCGGCCACGGCCTCTATGTAGAAGGGTGCGGGAGGACCAGTGGCGCCGATTTGCTTCGCTGTTGCTTCTTCGATGATGGTGCACGTTGCGCCGTCGTCCAGGAGTGCGTATGTATCGCACGTTCCTTTGGGACCGATCACTTGTATCGGCACTATCTTGAGGAATGCGATCTTCTTATCTTCTCTCGCAGACGCGACGACTGCGGCTGCTTTATCATCGGAGGGCTCGCTGTCCTTCTTCTCTATGGTGTCGACGTGCAGGAGTGGGTGATGTAGGTGTGTACACCCACCAACGTTGCATCTCTTCGTCTTGCAGTTGTGACGAAATCTTTTTATCCTCAGGCAACGGAAACATAGCCTGTGTTTTTTTGCTATCTCCCATCTTGCTTGTGGCTCGGCGTTCTTCACAGTGATGCAATCGGGTGGTGCGTGTCCTTCCCTGTTGCACGTCGGACACGGCGGTGAAGTCGGTTTCTCCTGCGTGATGTATGTTTTCACGCTTCTCTTCGTTGCTGGCTCCCGCCGGTCTTCATTTACTATTACTTCGGCGGGTGCGAAGTCACCGCACCTGGCTGCGGTGATTTGCAGGAACTTGGAGAGCGTTATCAGGTCCGGTTGATCAGCTGGCTGTTCTGCTACGAAGTCGTAGTATTTGAATCGTAGCGCAGAAGGCATCTTCTCCGTGATGGATCTTGTCACTTCTTCGTTGTACAAATAGTGGTTCTTCTTCAGGGCTTGAATTGTTGCAGTGACATTGGCTATTCTGGATGCGAATAGACAGATGTCCTTGGGGTTGTCTGACAGCCGCGGCAGCGCACGAAGTTTATTCATCTCGGCCATCACGAGTGCTCCTGGACGGCCGAACCTCGTAGCAAGTAATTGTATTACTTCTACTGCAGACGTATCCCCAACGAAAAGACAGTGTGCAGCCTCTTTGGCCGCACCCTTTAAACACCGACGTAATCTACCCAAGTTTTCTTGCTCGGTCAGCTGCCCCGCAGACTCTTCGTAGGCCATCTTCCAGGGCAGCCATTCGCTTGACGCGCCGTTGAAGGGTGGTAGTTCTGTGACTCGCGGCACTGTGGAGGGCTGAATTGCGCGAGCTGCCATAGTCATAGCAGTCGCCAATTCCTTATAGTCGATGCCCCCTTTCAGTGAATCCTCTTCTTTCTTCGTTGGCATCATCGGTGCTATGGAGTCTTCCCTCGGACCGTTGTGGCTTGCATGGTCCCGTCGGAATGCGTCGCTGCACGGCTGCGGCTGCGGCGCTTTCGTTCCCTCTCCGGCGGGTATCGATGAGATATTAATCCCCTGATGCAAGTCGGCGGTCGTCCTCTCTGTGTGCGGCTCCATTGTGAGTGCCAATGTGCTCGTCCGGCGAATCCAGTCCGTAGTCCTCTCTCTTCTTAATGTGGCGGCGTCCTCTTCATTTTCGTCCTCCTCTTCGTCGTCCGTGTCCGCCTCCAATGCTGCGACGCGTGCGGCGGCCAGTTCTACCTCCTTGCGTAGCAATTCTTCTCGGGCTTTAGCCAATTCTTTCTTCTTTTTTGAAGCTGTGGTGCGCGGCGCCCTTGGAATTGTTGTGGTAGTCTCCGCAGAAGTCTCCGCGGAAGTCTCCGTGGTAGCAGTAGGTTCCGAGGACGTGTACGTCGTGGTGGTCGATGTAGTGGCGGCAGCAGGCGACGTAGTGGCGGCGACGGTCGGCGTAGCGGCGACAGGCGACGTGACGGCGGCGGTGTTTTCTTCGTTTGATTGAGCTTCCATGGCTGTTCTTTGGCTTCTTGTTGTTGGCATCTGTGATCTTGATCTCTGTGCAGTCTTGCTTTCTTCTTCCAACAATCCGGCTTCTCGAAGGACCAGATGGTCTTGCTTTCTTCTTCCAACAATCCGGCTTCTCGAAGGACCAGATGTACGGGTATCTATTCCCCGTACTTGTTTGTAAGGTTGCGGGTGCAGGTGGAAACAAGAAAGACAAGTGTAATTATCCTCTCGAGCAGAGTTCGGTGGTCTGTACTAGCGATGGAAGCGGAATGAATTGTGCCGCGTTCGGCACCTATATTTATACTCCGCCCGCTCGCACCGTGTCACGTACTAGGTAACGATTGTGTTACGCACATAGGTGCGAGCGGGACGGATAGCGCGAAAAGACCACCTCTACTCGCTCCTTTATTTATTAATTTAAACTTTACAATACAATTATATTTAATTCTATCTAGTAGGGAATTGAAACTACTACAATTATAAATTTTATTAAGCTAACAATAATCAAATATGTACAATAGTCGCGAACATTATACAAATACTTATTTTATCGGATCATGATGTGAACGTATTTTTTTTTAATAAAGAATGTTCTTATTAATAAAATGAATATCGATTGAAGATGATTATTTTATTTAAGTTTCAAATGAGAGTGTTTTTTTTTATAACACAGGGGACAAACGAGCATGCGACTCACCTGATGGTAAATGATTACCGCCGCCCATGAGCACCCGCAACACCAGGGGAAGTGCAAGTACGTTGTCGGCCTTTTAAAAAGGAATAAGCTCTTTTCTTGAAGGTTTCAATATCGTATCGGTTCGGAAATACCATTGCTGGAAGGTGATTCCACAATGTGGTTGTGCGAGGCAAAAAGTTTTGGACAGGTTACAAGAATAACATCCTGTAGTCGTCAGTTTATTTCTGACTGACAACAAAAAAATTGTAAAGTCAAGTTTTAGGGTACAATGGTACAAAAGTCCCTAAATTAAAAAAAAATGTTGACATGAATAAATATATAGTGAAACTAGATGTGCCCGCGACTTCGTCCACGTCAATTGTCGATACTTCTATATAATATTTCATATCCCCTTTCAACCCCTTACAACCCGTAGTTTATCCCCTTAGGGGTGGAATTTATCGAAATCCTTTCTTAGGGAATGCCTACGTCATAGTAGCTTTATGCATGCAAAGTATCAGTCCGATCGGTTTAAAATTGACAAAGTTTCATACAAACTTCATCCACTATATTATCTCTTTGGGGGTAGAATTAATCAAAATCCTTTCTTAGCGGACGCCTACGTCATAACATCTACCTGCATGTCAAATTTCAGCCCGATCCGTCCAGTGGTTTGGGCTGTGCGTTGATAGATCGCTATGTTAGTCATCTTTGAGTTACATATATTTAGACTAGCTGTACTCGTCGTGGAGATCTTTGGGGGAGGCCTACGTCCAGCGTCGTCTTACGGGCTGCGATAATGATGAGCTGTACTCGCGACTATGTCCGCGTGGAATTTAACTTTATTTTTCTAAAATGAAAGTAGCGTAAGTTACTCCTTAATACATCAGCTACCTGTCAAAAAATGTCCCGTCAAAATCGGTCCAGCCATTTCAGAGATTAACCGGAACAAATGGATAGACAGACGTACAAAAATGGTAAAAAATGTTATTTTGGGGTATGTATTGTATTTATATTCATATGCATGTAGTATAAAACGTTAAAACGAGCGTCTGTTTGTAATATTGAAATAATCAATATTACAAACAGACGCTCCAATTTTATTTATATGTATAGATTAAAGATACTTTTTATTAATTAATTGTTGTCGTTACTGACAGTGGCGGCTGTTGGCGGGCCGCAGAAAAATAATCGACGGGCCGCAAACGGCCAGCGGACCGCGGGTTGAAGATCTTTGATCTATATGTACCATTGCAGGTAGGTACCTAAAATGTGTCCAACGCGGACCGGGAAGCGAGGTAAAGTTGGCAACACAAACAATTCACGGAATTCAGAGCGTACCTCCTGAACATTCAAAAACATTTGGTTTCTCTCGAACTAGTCACTCAGGTATGTTAATTTCTGTTTATTGCATCTAGTCAGTTCTAATTGATTATTTTTTATATTTACTCATATTTAAGAGCATCGAATACTAATCAACCACTCTCAATGTATATTTTCAAATATGGACAGCCTCGGTGGTCTAGTGGTTTAGCACACCGCTTTACTATCCGATGATCGCGCGTTCGATTCCTCCAAACATTTGTATTCACGAGTATGATTGTTTGTATCTGTCTGGGTGTTTTTTATGTATATATATTTATTTACAAAAAAATGTATCCATGTATTTATATCAGTTGCCTAGTACCCATAACACAAGCTCTGCTTAGTTTAGGACTAGATGGCGCTGTGTGAATTGTCCTAAGAAAAAAAAGGTTAATGATTTTGATCCTCTGACCTTTCGGAGTACTAAGATATCTCTTATCCTGTAATTTCACTGCCTAATTGCACCCTAGACCTGAAACGTAGCTTACAAAGCAATCTACTTGTTATCTGCTAATTTAAAATTACAACAGACAGTTCAATGTTATTTTGACGACCTCGGTGGTCTAGCGGTCTAGCACACCGCTTTACGACCGATGGTCGCGGGTTCGATTCCTCGCACGGCACAAACATTTGTATTCATGAGTATGATTGTTTGTATCGGTCTGGGTATTTTCTATGATCATGTATGTATTTTCAGAACAAATTTATCTACGTATTTATATCAGTTGTCTAGTACTCATAACACAAGCTTTAGCTAGCTTAACTTGGGTCTAGATGGCGCTGTGTGAATTGTCCTGAGATTATTATTATATATTATTATTTATATATATAGATAATGAGTTTATAATTATAAACATTCTAGCGGACAACCCTTATTACTTAGAGGTATGAATAAATAGATAGTAGCCACAGACCTACTGAATATGCATATAAAATTTCATAAAAATCAGTCAAGCCGTGACACGAGAATTTTACATATAAGATATTTAAAGGTAAGTCAATAACTACTATTTAATTTACGGGCGATGACAGCTTTAGTTATCAAATAAAAAGAATCATTAAAATCTGTGCTCCTAATTTCTTAAGTGAGAGTCAATACTCTTATATCAGAAATAAAACAACGATATAATTTAACGAGATAATTTATGATTTAATAATTAAAATATAACAAACGTCACTTCCCTTCAACAACTGTGGTCAACTCACGCAGGACCAACCCCTCCCACGACCGACCTTATTCACGACAGATATACTGACTGCGTGATTGACTGGATACTGACAGTGTCTATTGTCGTAGAATGACACTATCAACGTACGTATGAAATACCACAAGGCTATAATCTAAATATATATAACTCAAAGGTGACTGACACACTACTTTCATTTTAGAAAAATAAAGTTAAATTCCATGCGGACGAAGTCGCGTGTACATCATCATCATCGCAGCCCGTAAGACGTCCACTGCTGGACATAGGCCTCCCCCAAAGATCTCCACGACGAGTACAGCTAGTCTAAATATATATAACTCAAAGGTGACTAACATAGTGATCTATCAACGCACAGCCCACTGGACGGATCGGGCTGAAATTTGGCATGAAGGTAGATGTTATGACGTACGCATCCGATAAGAAAGGATTTTGATTAATTCTACCACCAAGGGGATAAAATCGGCGATGAAAGTTTGTATGAAACTTTGTCAATTTTAAACAGATCGGGCTGAGACTTTGCATGCATAAAGCAACTATAACGTAGGTAAGCCCTAAGAAAGGAAACAAAAGCAAAGCCGCAAAAACTATACCTAATTAATAATAATACTTCATAACGCGTGCAAAACCGTGAGTAAAAGCTAGTCTTATATAAAAAAAAAGGAAACCAAAATCTTTCGCCTTTCAACGTTTTAATTACATAACCTAAAATAAATATACAGCCTGATCATCAATTGCCCATTAGTTAGTTAACGACTATAGGTACTCCATAATTTAGTACTTGGATTTCCTTGAGCGAGGTCTAGGGTTAGTTACAAAAACTAGTTTAGCTAACAAGTTGACCGAAGTTATTGATTGCCAAACTTCATATTGTATCCAAGTTGTGTACTAACTAATCTTTAGAACAATGTAACACGACCTTCTGACGGTTTAGCACACGTCTTTATTTCCGTTAGTCGCGGGTTTGATTCATACATTTGTATTCGTTAGTATAATTATTTGTCAATATATCAATCTAGTGTAAGAATATATCAGTCTAGTATAAGAAGCACTAATTAATAATGACGACTTAGGCTTTGAAGCCGGCTACGGAAGGGAAACCCCAAATAGCGAAAGACATAGTGATCTATCAACGCACAGCCCAAACCACTGGACGGATTGGGCTGAAATTTGACATAAAGGTAGATATTATAACGTAGGCATCTGCTAATAAAAGATTTTGGTTAATTGGGTAGAATTAAGGGGGATAAAATGGGGATGAAAGTTTTTATAAAATTTTGTCAATTTTAAACCGATCGGGCTGAGACTTTGCCTGCATAAAGCTACTATGACGTAGGCATCCCCTAAGAAAGGATTTTAATAAATTCCACCCCTAAGACATAACAAAATAGACACACAAAAATAGTAAAAAATGTTATTTTGGTATTACAAACAGACACTCCAATTTTATTTATATGTATAGATTACGGCTGTTTCCTGGAATAATTTCATCTGTAACTATTTTATTCTGTCATTATTTTATATATAAAAAATCTTTTTATGTAATATATCTATTATTTTTATTCTACATTGTAAATAAAACTTATGACTATTTTTACTTTATCTTCACTTGTTGTACCGTTTTCTTTTATCATCAGAAGATATTTCAAACCTCTATAATGTATATAAAAAAGGAAACCTACCGTAGGTTTTCTTTCTTTATTTCTATGTTTTTAATTTGCAATGTCATATATTCAATAATGCTGCTGGTTGATCTC